CTACTACTACTACTATACTACAACTACTCCGACTACTACTACTGCTACAACAACAACAACAACTACTACTACTACTACTACTACTACTACTACCACTATTACTGCTACCGCTATTGCGACTGCGACTGCCACTGGCACTGGCACTGCAACTGCCACTGCCACTGCTACGGATAGGCTACTGCTACTGCTACTGCTACTGCTGCTGCTACACGACGTGTCAACGTAGATGCGGTGCATTTGCAAAGTTTGTTGGTTGTAGCGACTCCGCCTTTCAGCAATTGTAAGCTGCATGTGCCTGCTTCTGGACAGTGTGGTCTGCTGGGAAACTGTTCCCATCTCTTTGCCTTTTTTGCAAGATGAGACTGCAAAGAAGGAAGAGCTCCGGAAGCTGGGAGAGCCACCTTGACATGGACTGCTCATATGCAGACTTGCCGAAACCGCGGGGTGGAGACGAGAAAGATCTCAGAATGTGTGCTTCTCTGCCCGCTGGTCATGATGACGCAATGGTGATTGTGATGATGGTGACTGTGCCGGTGATTCATGGTGGCAACGGCGATGATGGTCATGATGGTGATGACGACGGCGACGAGGACAAGGATGATGACAAGGAGGCTGGTCGAAGTCGCATGATGGACTCGGGCAGGTTTCGGGATCTCGCGGCCGAGCAGAGGCCGTCAGAACCTCGAATCGAAAGCTCGACCCGAGAAGTGTTGCAACCCACCGTGAGACCCACACTTCAAAGCCCTACATCCCGAACCCAAACACTTCCGACAGGCCAGGCATCAGTCCCAACGACGCCCACATTATGCCATCCGATGCACCAAGGACAGCTGACGCCGGAACTTGTCACTATGTGTCTCAGATGCACTTCGGGGTGCCTTGCTTCGATGTCACGGTGACCTGGCACAGACGGTGAGACTGCGCAACCACGAGCCGATGAATTTGGTAAGGTCGTTATTCGAAGCGACTTTTTTTGCACACTGATTACGCAGCATCGTGGACCCTTGTCACAGTGCCTTGTCTTACACAGAGACCGGCTTGAGTGGGCGGTGCGCACACATGCAGTTGACAGTGCATTTAAATCTGCGCGGTGTGCCACTGCGCCGTTTCATCACCACGTCTATCTGCGCAGGTATTTGCAGATCTTCGCCATGCTGCCTCCCAGCTCAATGTGATGGCTCTTGCAGCGGTTTTGCAAAAGGACCCGTCACGAGTTTCAACATCCGCACAAGCGATTTGGAAAACATAGCACTAATCCGACTGTCTTGTGAAGCTCAGGTTCGTCAGCGTGCTCGAGGCACCTGTCAGAAATTTCGGAGCCCCTGCATTGAGCAAGGAAGCTCAGAAGCCATACCGATTCAAGTTCTTGCTACCCTGAATTGCACAAGTCTGTGTGCAAGGTAATGAGAGTCCGCCAGCAGGATAATGAGCAGTACAGCACGGTTTGTGATTACAGGGAAGCATGCCCTGCATTTGTGTAGATCGTTTTCCAAGCATGAGGTGAAGGCCCAATGCGCGTATGTTGTATTCCAACGGTGATTGGTTTGAGGTTCGAGCGTCTGTGATACTGGAGTGCGGGCCCAGGAGAGTCTGCTAGACCACAGCACAAAGAACTAAAAAACATAGTGTCTGTGATGATGGTGATGATGATGATGATGAAGATTATGAAGATTAAGAGGAGGAGGGCGACGATGACAAGGGTGATGGTTGCCTTTTTTTTACATGCCCCTGCTGTCTTCTTCGAAGACGTAGCTGCCAGGGCCGAGAAGACGAGGGAGACGAGATCACGGACCTGAACTTGCCGGACGACGTGCTCGCACCTCTGCCGCGGCAATGGATTTTTCGGGTTCCAGGCCTTTTGGGCAAAGTTTGTTCTGATGGATTTTTCCGGTCAGACTTTGCAGAGCCCAGGCAAATCTTGACCTTAGGGCAGTGGAACTTGAGGGGTTGAGTTCGTGAGCTTTGTCTGCCTGTGCGCCTCAGGACAACATCAGCAAGCGGAGTCAGCGTCGCTTGGCGCGCAGAGCAATGGATTCAAGTCCGTGTAATCCCGACCTGAACAAGCAGGGGAGAGCTGTCATGAGATTGTGGTTGGCTTGTTGTGTGATGGCGATACTGGCGATACGGTTTGTTAGGGAGAGGGTTGGCTGCCGTGCTTGGGTTGCTTTTGGGCACTGCTGCTGTTGGGTGCGCAAATGCTTCCAGCTTCAAGTTTTTACCGCACGATGGCTTGTCATGGTTGCGATGATGAGCCCCGCAGGCCTTAGGTGGCTTGTCTTGCAACGCTGGGACAGTCTGAGAGCTAGCACACCTCGCAGGTGTATCATGTTCCAGGGCTAGGCACAGGCCCTGTGCACGGTGCACTCAGGCTTTGCAGACATCATGAACCAAAGAAGTGGGAACAGTGCCATGCGCGAAGCCAAACCTGGCAGCCTGTGGGGCCCTCAGGGCACAGTTTGTGCAAGTCCAGCAGCCTCCGCAAACATACCCCACTGCCACTTGTTCAGCTCTGGCAGGTTTACGGACATGGCTTTAGCGGATGGTCCAGCCCGCGTGGAGCATTATGGCTTCCTCGGGCTTTCGCATCATCGTTCGAGCTCATCGTCTGGACGCTCATCATCTGGACGCTCATCAGGCCGTTCAGTCAAAAAGTATGAGTCCGAGGACGATGATGATTAGAGAAGCATCCGATCCTATGCGCTGCCGGTGTCGACCTGGCCCTGAGGGCCGCCAGACGTCCGCAGAAAAAGCTATGGATTTTCTCGGTGGTTCTTTCCGATTCTTTTGCGAGGTGCATAAGGCCTGGCTGTTGCATAGTGGGTCGATCCACTCCGCATGAGCGACCAGACTCCGAAGGGAGCTCTTAGCTCGAAGCTGGGCACCGTTGGCGGAAAACCAGTACTCGCAGTTCATAGTGCTGATCTTTGTTTTGGAATGTGCCCGTTGCAAGTAGATAAGTAGACGAGTTGCTCTCGTCTTGACGACGGCTGTCACGGGATCCGTTTGCACTGGGTCTGCCTAAGGCAGAGTCTTGTCTCGTAAGCCGATGCATGTGGTCTTTCTGGAAACCTTTCTGATGGTTTTGGCTGCAAGGAACTCGTGGTGTCCCCATGATAATTAGTTCGCATGTGTGTGTGTGTGTGTCCACCGTCGCCATGAAACCCTACTTCGCAAGCAACGCTTTTAAACCCCACCCATACAGCCCAGGCCTTACACCAAAACAGCCAACGCACTGAAGAACTTTAAGCCTTCGCCGCTCGGGCCTTTGCGCCCATGTCTTCAGTGCCTCTGGCATTTTTCGTTGAATAGGTGTAGAGTTGGAGACTTCGTGTGAGATTGTCGGAAGTCTGAGATCTTATGAGGCCTCACTCAGGCCTTCCAATGACTTCGTTGGGTGTCGACAGTGCAGCTTTTTTCGGCCCGTCATTCTCTGCAAGCTGCACTAGGTGGTGAGTGTCTTGTCGGTCTTGTTCCTTTGTTTCGTCCCTTTCTCTTGACGTCGCGGCAGGCAGAAGTGGAACCTCCACCGCTGCAGGTACTTGACACCAGCAGACGTAATTCTCGGCAGAACTGTCGTCAGTGACTGCTGCAAACGTAGGCGCTGTACCGTCCCGGATATACATGTGTGGTTTGTCTCAAAGTCTCACCTGTTGGCATCGCTCTGTGGCTGAAGAGCGAAGAATGAAAGCGGCGATCTTAAGTCGTCCGCGCAGGCGGCAGTGGCGGCGCCAGTGGCAGCGCTAGCGGCAGTGCCAGCGGCAGCAGTTGGGCCAGTAGGGCCGACGCCGCAGGCGCTGTCGGACATGTTCTGCTAGGCGTGTGCGCAATGGAGTCTGCACGGTGAAAGTGGGTTGGTGGCTGTGCCAGTGAAGCACTGGTCCGAACGGAATGCCCCCCTGTCACACCTGCAGTTGAGGCAGGTCAGATTGAAAGCACCTGCATGCATCTTCTTGATCGAGGCATCGCAGGCTTCCCATCGGGCCCCTGCGGAGGCTGCAGCACAGGCAGCCAAATCTATTGTACATGGAGCATTGCTACTGGCAGATGTGAGACTCGTGCTGTGCTGATATATGGCAGGCAGACGTGGCACCACCGCCACTGCAGGCTTCCGCGACGGCTTTGCTTGACATGAACTTGAGACAGTCTGTGAACTGTCGCATTTAGCCTACCAAGTCTCGGCGGTGCTATCGTTGCTTTGCCAATGGAATCCAAAGCTCAGTGTTGGCAGTGCATACACGCACCATTTCTGGGAGGTGCCGCAGGCTGCAGCGTCGACACCGCAGGCGCGTCGGGCATAGTCTGCCAGAAGCGCGTGTAACACATCATGACAACGGGGCCGCTGTGCTGCGATTTTCCCGCCTAGACATGGCTGACCTACCCCACTGGGCCTTTCAGAAATATTCCTGGGACCAGTGGAACGGGGTGCGATTTTTTGCGGCAGGACTTCTAGGAGGAGACGGCAATCGTCCGAGACGGACAATAAAGAGCCCCAGCAGAATATAATTAGAAGATTAAGCTTCTTGGAATGTGAGGAAACACCCAGGGCAAACTCCCATGCCGCAACTTAGCCTCACGTTTTGCTGCCAGAGATTTTCGGCGGAGAGCCAAGGCAGAACACAGGTGCCCCACCCAGAAGCCCCGACATGACAGGAGATCTTAGAAGATGAGAGAGGATCCGCCATCCGAAAGGAAGATCGGAATATTGCAATGATTCTAGCATGAAATGGCATAGAATATGACTTGCTTTGCTTGACAGTCAGCTCACAACTGAACCAAGCACAAGTCTAGAGCACCCAGTTGCTGGTGAACATCACCGATGATGGCTCGTACTAGGCGAAGCCTTAGCAAACTGACCGCATCCTTCCACTCCACTTTAACCTTGGCAGCTGGGTCCAAGTGAAGCTCACCATTAGCAAAACCAACGAGCCTACGAAGAAGTGTTAGTTGAAGGAGAGTTTCTCGGAAGATGCCTCAAGAATCTGGATGTCCCCAAGACTACACTGATTCGGCAGCCCAGTCTGCCGTGCAAGATTCACGTCGTTGCAGTGCAGAGTGTGGTTGGTGGAGCTCAGAGGGTGCAGTTCATTGGAGCGCAGCACCTGCTGGTTATGCATTCACCATCAAGGTGCGTTGGTCGCCACTTAAATCTACAAAAGCTACCGATGCTCATCATCACGACACGGGTGGCAGGTGTCACAGGCGTCCCAGCCGATCCCTGCAGAACAGGCGGTGCCTGCGCAAGCATCAGCCACAGCGGCCCAGGCTGGAGGGAAGCGAGTTGTTCATCGGCCGTTGCTTATGGTGCGAGCATGAGGGTGCCTCTGATCTGTCAGGTAGACGTGGCACCACCACCGCCGCAGGCTGCCGTGACACAGATGTTCCGTTCAAGAGCACCGTCATCCGTCAAGCTCAGCGGGGGTGGCAGTTGTGTGCAAAATTCACATCAAATTCTTCCGGTAATCGCCCGCAAGCAGTTCAGTGTCTCGTCAGAGAATTGGTGGCTGTCAGTTACCGTGCCTTGTGGAGCCATCATTTCTGCTGCCAGTCGAATCAAGAGTCGTCTCCGGCATCAGCGATGTGACGACATGTTGACGGCAAGAACTTGTTGAGAAATTGCATCAGTATTTGTGGAAGCATGTTTGTTATCGGGGAGGTGCCGCAGGCTGCGGCAGCGGCGGTGCCACCACAGGCACTGACGGGCATGCTCTGATAGAACATTGCAACGGGGCCGCAGCTGTCGTCTAAGCATCTTCCTCGCATAGAACGATTCCTCATCCAGAACTGGCTTGCAACAAGACGTGTTCACCGTGCTTGCGTGGAAACAGGATGCTGGGGAATGTCGGATGTTGTAGTGGTTAACCTACGAGGCTTTAAGGGATCTGGTCATGTCGGCTAACTCGGTCGGATGCCGCGCCGGTGTTTAACGGTGGCGGGTGTCGCAGGCATCCCAACCGGCCCTGCAGAACAGGTCGTGCCGGCGCCAGCATCAGCCGCAGCGGCCCAGGCTGGACGGAAGTGAGTTGTTCATCGGCCGTTGCTTATGGTGCGAGCATGAGGGTGCCTCTGATCCATCAGGTAGACGTGGCACCACCACCGCCGCAGGCTGCCGTGACACAGATGTTCCGTTCAAGAGCACCGTCATCCGTCAAGCTCAGCGGGAGTGGCAGTTGTGTGCAAAATTCACATCAAATTCTTCCGGTAATCGCCCGCAAGCAATTCAGTGTCTCGTCAGAGAATTGGTGGCTGTCAGTTACCGTGCCTTGTGGAGCCACCATTTCTGCTGCCAGTCGAATCAAGAGTCGTCTCCGGCATCAGCGATGTGACGACATGTTGAGGGCAAGAACTTGTTGAGAAATTGCATCAGTATTTGTGGAAGCATGTTTGTTATCGGGGAGGTGCCGCAGGCTGCGGCAGCGGCGGTGCCACCACAGGCGCTGCTGGGAGCTTCCAGAAGACACGTTCACCGTGCTTTAGTAGACAACAGGATGCTCCAGAATGCCGGAATGTTGTTGTGGGGTGGGCAGTTGCTCCAATTTGGCAGGGTGTCGACCAGAGAAGATGATTTTGGACCTGATTGTGTCGGCTGCAGTCGGGGATCATTGAACGCATGGCAGGCGTCCCAGCCGGCCCCTGCAGAACAGGCCATGCCTGCTCAAGCACCAGTGGCAGGGGCTCAGGCTGGAGGGAAGTCTGTCGGCCTTTGTGTTTAGGGGTGGGGGGGTGTGTGTGCGTTATTCAAGATCTGGCAGGCAGATGTGGCACCACCACCGCCGCCGCAGGCCTCCGATAGCTCTCCCGAGCACAGTGGCCCATGAGGGCCATGAGGATTCTCCGGCTAAGTTCGAAAGATGAGCCTTGTTCTGAGCTGCAGACTGCCGCAGTGGTGACGCCCTCGGCCCTGACATCTCAGCACACAGTGGGGAGAGTGAGACCCGTGCTGTGTCCTCATTCACCACTAGAGCATGGCAGCCGTCCCAAGATGAGCTCTGCCTCTCTCTCTTGCTTCTTGTCATCGTTTTTTTGCGTTCTCTCTCTGTCTCTCCGGTCGTGTGCGTGGGCTGCCCGGCAACCATCACAGAGAGTCTGTATGGAGACTGCAGGATGTTGTAGGATACCACAGCTGCCGGGTATGCAGTTGGGCAATCTTGCACAGTGTGCTGTTTGGTTGTGGACAGCGGGATCATGTCGGAGCTGTTACTTTGTTTTGAAGCAATGCCCAAGTTACGCATCAAGCAGCAACGCCAGTTGGTTAATTCCACTGGTTTTCGCTTCCGCATTAGCAATTATTAGCACGTCTCTTGCAGGTTTCTTACGCATCAAGCAGCAACGCCAGTTGGTTAATTCCACTGGTTTTCGCTTCCGCATTAGCAATTATTAGCACGTCTCTTGCAGGTTTCGGCGCAGCAGGCTCCGACTTCTTCGCAGCCAGCGCCAGCCTTGCCAGCTGCCACCCAGGCTGATTCCGATTCCCAACGCGCCGCGTGTTCCCGGAAGGAAGGGGAGGTGAACGTTTAGTTGTCGGAGCAGAGCGATGCATGCGTTGTCTTGTAGTGTCCCCGCGCCTGTCTGCATGTCGTTATTTCCTGCTCGAAGTCGGGGCATACTCGGTCTTATCATTGTTGTTCGTTCCACTGCATGTCGCTGCAGAAATCGCGGCCTCCACCATCAGTGTCAAAGCTTCGGGTATTCTGTACACAGAAGCGGAACGGATCTCCGATGCTCGTCAGGCAGAGGCGGCGCCACTGCCTCCGCAGGCTTTCGGCGACACGAGCAACGGTCATGCTCTTTCAATGCGCCAGAGTGCAGTTTCCAGAGGTCGTACAGGCTCCTAGATATGGTAAAGTCGCTGGCAAGTTCGAGTCGGAGAGACAAAGACATGGCCGCACAGAAACGACAAACCAGAGACGGACCGAGTGTGCAGAGACCGAGGGACAGGCAGACAAACGGACACACAGCCTCGATGTGCTCCTTGAAGCCTGACGGAAGACCTTTCTTTTAAAACTTCGAGAGGTGGAGACATCTCTAGAGTCAGGAAGCGACGCAATCACTTCAGCCTTCCGAGTCAGAATCAGCTGCCCCGTCATGCATATCTTCGTTTCGAGGGGCAAAGGATGGTTGAGCTTTAACCGGATGCTCGAGTGAGGAAACGGACCGTCCCCTCTGCCGGTTTCGGTTTCAGGACTGGAAACTCGCAAAAAGCCTCAGTTCATTGCACCTCGTCGATCCTTGTCGCATGCCTTCTCAAAGCCTGACGAGGCTTTCGATCATGAAACAGCCTCTGGGATCCTTTTAGCTTTCTATGCAACCTTGTGCAACCCTTGAACAGACAAAGGCAGAAAGACGTAAACGGAGACCTGCAGAGACAGCACAAAACAGAGAGGGAGATGTGGAAGAAGGGAGGGAGCTTAAGGCCCAGGACCCAGTCCTCCGAAAAACCACCGCCGCAGGCTTCTGCAGTGACACCTCAGGTGCATGCCCTCGCGAAGACGGGTTCGGCCGAGCGATTCGGACTTCTGGGGTTGAGCTGTAGCGGACTTGACGGGCGAATTTCTCAGAGACAAAGGGGGACAAAGCTTCGTGAAGGTTGTTTGTAGACCTGAAGCTTTCCCTGAAAGCTGGGAGCCTCGGATGTAGGACTGGTTCGGGGCGGCAGGGAGGCTTCTGGAAGTTTGGAATGAGTTGCACAGGCTGCGCAGGCTTCTCCAACTGCAGCTTTGCCCCAGGCGAGTGGGTTGAAAGGGAAACTTGAACAGAGAAGTTGAGTCCGCAAGACAGCACTTGGAGCTCTAACATCTTTTGGTGTCAAAAAGTGTAAACTTTTGGATTCTCGCTCAAACTTGAGAAGGGCGCTGATTGAGTAGGATCCTCAAGAAGAAGCCACCCGAGGTTAGAAAGAACAGCCTTTTGGAAAGAAGATCTCGACTCAAAGCCCGGCCGCGGGCTGTGGCAGTTCGAGCCCTCGAAACGAAAACGGAAGCAGAAACGGACATCCGGCACTCCGCTCCGAAACAGAAGAGCTTTCAGTTTTTCTCGCTCCTGCATTTCCGTTTTTGTCTGCGTTTGTGGTCCCTTGTGGCTTTCCGCTTCAGCTTCCGTTTCAGTTTTGGCTCACCGCTGGCTTTCCGTTTCGGCCGACACCAGAACCGAAAATGAAAAGGAAGGGGCAACCACACGGAATTACAAACCGAAACAAACGAGAACAGGCGCGAAAATGTGCCCGTGCCATTGTGGCAGGATGTGGCAACTACTATACTCTTGATGATTCTGCCCCTGAACCCCCATGCATGGAGCCTGTAGCCTGAACTGGTGAGGCGCCAGTCGCAGGGAACCGTGAGGTGGACTGCCCGTGGAATGGATGGGAAGTGGAGTTACCTTCTGCCAGTGGTGGAGTGCAGTAGCTCTTGTCTTGGGAATCCTGTTCGGAGACGTCTCATGGGGCGACGGGGATTGAAGAATCTGCTGAACACGTTTGTATCTGAGAGTCTCGGAAGTCAGGTTTTCAGTGAGTAAGCTTGTGCACTGCAGCTGGCTGGGTCTAAGATGATGGAAGTTTCTTAATCCCGGTCGCCGCGACAAGGCCTCGCAAGTGAGCGGGGCGTCGACCCCGTCGACGAGGGAGGTGCCCTCTTGGTTGGGTTGACCGTGGCACTCGAGCCTCAAGCCGTGCTGGGCCGCAGGCATCGGCTTCACAAGCTTCACAGGCTTCGATAACCCCACAGGCCCGGGGCGGCCAACACCTGCGGCTGGCACATACTGTAAGTCTCTGCTTCGGCTTCGGTGTGCTGGCAGGCGAAGGCTTTGAAAAAGACAAAGTCGACGCGGCTCAAGGACGCTGTGTGTTTCTTATGCTGACTGGCCTCCGGGCACCCTTCTGACTTCTTGGTATTGTTTCACTGAGTTCGCTGTCCCGGGAGAGTCTAGATCTGCGAAGCTAGGGCTAGGGGAGGCGCTCTTTCAACTTCTTGCGTTCCAACTTGCAACAACGAAGGGTCTTGCAAGGAGCATGAGACCCTGGATGATGACAACCAGGAGGAAGCCGAGGACGGACCATGAGCTTGAAAGCTTTGTCAAGGGTCAACACCCCAAGCGGTCATCCTGCTTGTGCAGAACATTTGGTGTCTTTCTTGTCGGGGGGTTTTCGCTGAGCCTACTTCTCATTCTCATGATCCCAGCCTGGCTCTGGATTCGTGACCGGGTCGTTTCTGTGATACCCACGGCTGTGAAGCAGGATGAGTCCTCCGAAGATGAGAACGCAGAGGATGCCAACACACCGGGCGACTATCCTGACAACATGAGCAAGGACGAGGCCGGTACAGGATCTATTCAAGTCCAGAAGACCCCCCTTTTGCTCGACAGAAGAAGTGTGTCGCTTTCACATCCGACCCGAAAAGCTCTAGTGAGCCCCACGGCAGCCAGTATCGGGTAAAATTCCTCGGCACCTGAAGGTGAAAGAGAAGTCGCCGCTAGGGCGCTTCGTTCGCTTCAACCGGAAGCTTGGATCTGGGTCCTACAAGACCGTTTGGCTGGGCTTCGACAACGACACAGGCATGGGGAATGTCTTGCAGCCACTGCAGCTGCTGCCTGCTGCCAAGCATGGCCAGGAATGGAGGTCGCCTGGAACATCATCTCGTTCCAGAACTTGGACAAGCATCTCGGCTGTCAAGCTTGCAGAAGCCTGCAGCTAGCTTGAGTCCGTGGGACCGTGCTGGACTCTGAGGAAGGCAAAGAAGCGGATCTCAGACGAGATCCAGATGCTGAAAAACCTCAAGCATCCCAAGATCATCGCCTTCATCAATGCTTGGACGAACAAGGAGCAAGAGAAGGCCCACGACAAGAGTTCCACCTTGTCGCTCCCAGCCTCCAACCAAAGCTCTCTGTAGAACTGCTGGGACAGGTCTGCTTCATCACCGAGCGGGTCACGGGAGGTTCCCTCCTGCAGTACATAAAGCGCATCAATGCGCCGCTGAAGCTCAAGGTGATCCGCAACTGGTGCAGGCAGATCTTGGAAGGTGGCTTGGCCGCCATGTAGCCATGTCTTTAGCTGGGCTCCTTGAGAGAGGTTCAGGGCTGCGCAGCGGCGCCTCGAGCTCAGGTTTGAACTACCTTCACACGCGTCCGGACCCCATCATCCACAGGGACCTCAAGTGCGACAACATCTTCATCAACGGTGCCTTGGCTTTCGGCCGCTAGCACGAGCCATTTAGGGGCCCCGGACGAATCCCGGACACACCGAGGAAACCGTGGTGACATCGTCATCGGAGACCTGGGCCTGTCCACCACGCTGCGGGAGTCCTGCGCCGTGGCCCGGTCCATTGTGGGAACCGTCGATTTCATCGCCCCTGAGATCTACGATGACTCTTGGCCTGCAGCAGCATGGCTTGTCTTGCCGGGATGGTAAGTCGCGCTGTGCCCAAGGAAAACTACGGCACGTCCGTGGACATCTACGCATTCGGAATGGTACTTCTGGAGCTTCGAGGGGGATGGGGTGCTGGCTGCAGGGAATGTGCGAGGGTGTTTGTGACCGAAGGACCACCAGTTAGCATCTATCCCGAAGGGGCGTCCCTGGACCTGGAGCCATAAACCTGGCACACTGGGCCGATGCCAGCCGCAGAAGGTCCTTGAGGTCCTAAATCCTGTGCTTGCAAACCAAAACCACAGAAGGGCGACAAGTGGCGTGAGTGTAAAGCCATTATTGGTGCTCGCTTTCGTGCGAGGAGATGATCGGAAGGGAGCAGCCCTGGAGCGAATGCGACACTCCAGGCGGCTTTTCGGGCTTCTCACAAGGAAGTGAACATTAGTAGATTAATATAGCGATAGCGCGTGCTTAACTAGATATGTCTGACTACTTACCTACCTACCAATCTGCCTGCCTGCCTGCCTGCCTGCCTGCCTGCCTACCTATCTGCCTACCAACCCCCCTGCCTGCCTGCCTGCCTGCCTACCTACCTACCTACCGACCTACCGACCTACCGACCTACCGACCTACCGACCTACCTGCCTACCTACCTACCTACCTCCCTCCCTCCCTACCTCCCTCCCTACCTACCTACCTACCTACCTACCTACCT